AGCCTGTTCCAATGCCTGACCACTCTTTCAGTAAAGAAATTTTTCCTAATATCCAATCTAAACCTCCCCTGACACAACTTGAGGCCATTGCCTCTCGTCCTATCGCTGGTTAGATGGGAGAAGAGGCCAACACCTGCCTCACTACAACCTCCTTTCAGGTCGTTGCAGAGAGCAAGAAAGTCTCCCCTCAGCCTCCTCCAGACCAAGCAATCCCAGTTCCCTCAGCCGCTCCTCGTAAGACTTGTTCTCCAGACCCTTCACCAGTGTTGTTGCCCTTCTCTGGACACACTCCAGCCCCTCAGTGTCCTTCTTGCAGTGAGGGGCCCAAAACTGAACACAGTACTCCAGGTGCGGCCTCACCAGTGCCGAGTACAGGGACACGATCAGCTCCCTACTGCTGCTGGCCACACCATTCCTGATACAAGCCAGGATGCTGTTGGCCTTCTTGGCCACCTGGGCACACTGCTGGCTCATGTTCAGCCAGCTGTCAACCAACACCCCAAGGTCCTTTTCCTCTGGGCAGCTTTCCAGCCACTCTTCCCCAAGCCTGTAGCATTGCATGGGGTGGTTGTGACCCAAGTGCAGGACCCAGCACTTGGCCTAGTTGATTGGCCTCGGTTCATCGATCCAGTCTGTCCAGATCCCTCTGCAGAGCCTTCCTACCCTCAAGCAGATCGACACTCCCGCCCAAATGCAGGAGGGTGGTTTTTATCCATGACAAACAATGTGTAAATGCGTAGGCAGATCTATTACTCATGGTGTCTCAGTGATCACCATTTGGTTCTCGCAGCCACTGGGCCTTTTTGTGTGTGTCTGTGTGTGTGGAAGAGCATGGAGTGAATAACCTGGGGAAAATGCTTCCAGACAGGAGGCCCGTTATCCAAGGACGAAGGGGTAGCCAGAGGGAAGAGTCCCCTTTCCAGCTTGCATGAGGCTCCAGCAGCTCTCTTCGCTGCAGAAGGTGACAAAATACGCTGCGCTTTTGCATTGCCTAAATGACGAGAAGTGCAAGGCTGTCTTTAAAAAAAAACATTTGAAATTGTAGCGCAGGATTGTTTTTCTCCT